ACTTTGCTATCGAAGGTGACTTTGCATAAAAACAGTTTATATTTTTTAACATTCAAGTTGGCAATAGAACTCTAGCGGTGAATATAGGAAGTTATCACAGCATAGTATACAAACACATGTAGCTAGATTCCGTGCGCCATTTTGTTGCGATCTTTTGTGTCTGATGGTTTAGGCAGGTGAGTATTTGGAGCCAAATTATTATAAGTTAAATGCTAAGGGCTGGGTAGGAATAACCTGATGTTGTGGTGTTATTTGAGCATATATGGGGTATAGTACATATATTTGGGAAGATGTTGACAAATTTTGGTTCGCTTTTGTAGATTCATTGAAAATGTATAATTTTTTGTTCGAATCTGTAAAATTTTCGGGGTGACTTTGCCATCGAGCCATGTGTTTTTTATTTACAGAATTCAGGATGCCGCGCAAGTACAAGAGAACACTAGGCAGTCGCCAATATAAAAATTACTCGGAAGAAACCCTATCAACTGCTATTAACAGAATAAGAGCAGGAGAAATATCAATGAAAGATGGCGAACGATTGTATTCCATTCCATATAGGACGTTATGGAATAAAATTAATCAAAAACACACTGGCAAAGTAGGAGGGCTCACCATTTTATCCGAAATGGAAGAAAGACACATCGTAGATGTGCTGCTAGCGTCATCTGAGTTTGGAAGCCCTCTGTCGTGCCTTGATGTAAGGCACGTAGTCAAAAGGTACTTGGACCGTTCTGGAAAAAGAATTCCACTGTTGCAGGATAATTTTCCTGGACGAGAATGGGTTCTAAACTTCTTGGACCGAAACGGAGACAAACTCACTCAAAGAAGTTGTCAAAATATCAAATCCGTCAGGGCTGAAAAAACTGAAGAAGAATTCGTGAGATATTTTGATAATCTTGAAAGGAGCATGGATGGGATACCTGCCGCTAATGTCATGAACTATGATGAAACTAATCTTTCTGATGATCCTGGCACGAAAAAATGCGTGTTCAGAAGGGGCACTAAATACCCAGAAAGGCTTCTGAACGCAACGAAATCTTCGATTTCCATCATGTTCGCAATAACAGGCGATTGTGAAACTTTGCCGCCTTATGTCGTGTACAAGGCTGAAAGGATATACGATCAGTGGACATTGGGAGGACCACCAGGCACACGTTATAACCGAACAAAATCAGGATGGTTCGATACATATTCTTTTGAAGACTGGTTCGCTACTGTCGTTATACCATGGGCTTCGAAAAAAGATGGCCCAAAACTGGTAATAGGAGACAACCTTTCGTCGCACCTGAGTTTGAATATCATTCAGAGCTGCCAAAAATACCGCATTAGATTTGTTTTTCTGTCAGCAAATTTCACGCATCTGTGTCAGCCATTAGCTGTCGGGTATTATGGCCCTCTGAAGAAACAGTGGAGGAAAATCCTAACAGATTATAAGTTGAGAAACCCTAGGGAAAAAGCAGTGAACAAATCCACTTTCCCTCATTTGCTGAAAAAATTGGTAAACAATTTGAAATATACAGATGAAAAGAACATCAAAAGTGCTTTTCGTGCTTGTGGGATATTGCCTCTGAACCGAAATGAGGTTTTGAAAAAATTGCCGAATCAAAGACTGCCAGAAAACGTTCATGAATCCATTAGTGGCACATTACTTGATTATTTGAAGGAGATTCGCTCGCCTTCTACGAACACAGCACAAAGAGGAAGGAAGAAAATGGTCAGAGTTGCACCTGGAAAGTCTGTGTCTGCAGAAGATTTTGAACTCCCCAATAATGATGAGTCAGATGTGGAGATTGCAATGGAGAATGAAGAAGAACCTGAGAGTGATAAGGAGAATGAGGATGTTTACCAAACCAAAGAAAATGAAAATATAATGGAAGAGGAAAATGACGAACAAACATTAGAAACAAGAACGGCGCGATCTGGAGATTTTGTGGTGGTAGCCTTCCCCACAAAGAAGAGTGTACGACATTTCATCGGAAAAGTTTTGAGTGTCGTAGATAATGAATTCAACATCACTTTCTTGAGGAGACAGAATAAAGGATTCGTCTTTCCATCAGTTGAAGATATTTCCTTAGTTCCAGAAATGGATATCATGAAGATATTGCCTCCTCCAGAAACACATCGTGGTTTCCATTATTTCAGAGCAGAACTGAATGACTATTCTCTATAAGTTCTCATAATTACATTCTGATATATTGAAAGTATTTGTTTCTAATTTTACAAGAATAAAAGCTTTGTTTTACAGTTTTATATGTTAGCCCAACGATTATTCAGCCATTTCCTGTGTGAACACTTTCCATATGTCCACTCTGATATTTCTTAATGTTTGGGATATTCTTAAAACCATATAATGGTGGCAAAGTCACCAATATGGGGAGTGTACTTTACTTGATAGTGGGTTTCTTGACTGTTAGCAAAGTAAACCTTTTCGTTTGGTGACTTTGCCAAATTTTCAACAAAAAAATATATATATTTCCCAGTCGATTTTTGACATTTTGATTGAACCAGCCTGTAGCAGAAACATGAAAATATCATATAGTTTCTACAAGCTCCATTGTGTCGATAAATAAAAAAGTTATGATAAGAAATGCACGAAAACGTATGCAAAGTAACCCCTGCTTACGGTACCAAGATACGAGCAAGATATTATCAGAGCACAAAAGAAGAGCACCATTTATGTTAGGTATTGAAAATGATCTTCCGATGGTCGAGTTCAATCAACAATCCCCTTTAGCAATGTGAACGGCGATCTATAGTGAGTCGAGCGCTGAAGTCCATTTATATCTTGCTCTTTGTTTATTTATTAATTACTCTCATTACCTACCACCCTTGTACAAGTGAAATTGTTTCACACTAAATAAAAGCATGTTTCTTGAAATGTATCAGTTTTTAACCCATTCTGAACTCTTGTGATAAATAAATATTCAATTGAACTAATATATATACCTACACATATGTTGATATATATTATGTACCTACTAACTTGATATCGACCTCCATTGAAGTCCTTATTCAGCCTTATCATTCAATATTTCGGGAAGAAATAATTTTCTAATCAATTTATCGTACCATTTTACCCACCTGAGGAGACGCTATGCACTCTCATACAAAAATCAAAGACAGAGAAAGATATATGGATGTACTCTTCCCAGGACTTGTGGAAGACGGAAGATGCGAGGATCCTTCATCTAAGCGAAAAACATATTCTTGTCCTTGTCTGGCAAAACATATGATTTGCTTCAAAGTCGGTTGTGTTTATGTTTGATTGTCACTGCTTGTCTAGTGTCCGTACTCCAATATACAAAAAATGTCAAAACAGCAGTGTCAAGCACATTTAGGAACTCTAGATTGAGTAATAACGACAGAACTACTGAGAAATCCTCTGATTTTCCATTATCTTGTAAAATTCCCAACATGATATTCAAGTTTTTCATCCACTAAAGCACAATACAACCATTTGTGAAATAGTCATTTTCCGGACCAATTGAATTCAAATGATTTTTGGCATTCTTACAAATCAAATTAAAAACTTTTGAAAAAACCTAGTACATTGTACATCAGTACTTTCACCAAACCATGAAGACTCTCAAATAATAAGAAAAAGCCCCCTTTCATTGGCCAGTTTTGTTGACTGTATATTTTGTTATTCCTTCAAGTCTCTAATGGAAATATCTCAGTAACAGTAATATTTTCTACAAGTAATATTTTCGTTTCCTAGCAGCAGGTATCCAATCTGAGTGGTTAATCACTTTCATTATATTCAATAGGTACCATGAAAAACTAGTCATAGGATCGGATTGGGACTCGGCATATTTGATCATTAGGTCGAGTTCTATAATATACCAGAAATTCAGAGAATTCGACAGAACGCCATTTTTATATAGAAAAAGTGCGGGGTCCAATGTTTGTGACAGACCCACAAAATTTTCAAAATTCTCAAAGGAATTTCATTCCATGTTTTTTTGTTCTCAAAATTGAGAATGTCTGGTGTCAAACTCAAACAACATACACAAAATTAAGCAGCGATGTAGCTATTGATACCGAATTTTAATATTTTCAGACCCTGCTGGAATACAAAAAAATGAATTTTTCGTCGACCTCTACAAGAAATTACATTTTACATACTAATTTACGGATAACTATTACACTCTTGTTCTTGGGGACCAATCAGAATCAACCATTTTCAGGGTTCTTCCTGTATTACATCGATATATCCCTCGTTTCGAAAAATTACCGGACTTGATCTATCAATAAAGAAGCCGAATTAACCCACACGTGACCAACCAACCCCGTTTTTCAGCGATAAAGCTTTCAACAATTAAAACGTCAATTATGTTGGAAGCCAGAATGATGAATGCAGTGTGCGCAACTCCCGCGAGGCGCTCGTTTATTGTCTGCTTCAATCATGAAATAGTCATACGAGTACAACTCGTGATACAATTTTTCCTGGAAATATCTGTCGATTGACATGCTCCAGCTTGCTGCTTTAATTTCGCTTATGACATTGTCCCAAAACTTTTTGCCTGCGGCTTCAAAGATTTGATAAACAATGTCATTCTCGTAATTCTAAGGCAAAAGTTGGCGTAACAATCGCCGAATATTTAGGAAAAATAGTATCACTTGTCGTTCAACAAATGAAAAATCTACCAATTTTTGAAGACAAATACTTCTCGTCCGCAGACACTAACTTTGCGTCCGCTGTGGTCACTATGATACGGTGCGAGAGCAGCATTTGAGTTGATAGCTGTCAACTGTCATTTACTGTTTGTCAAATTAACCATTTACGAAATCCGATAGAATTTTCGTGTGAATAAGACCGTGGTGTGTGAATATAAGTTTTCGAGGTCAACGAAAAAATGTAATGGGCACCTCCGGGAAAAACTGTCTATTGTATCGCCTGCTTGCTAGCCAATAAACATTTTTTCGTCAATGGTAAATAAATAACTTCACTGTTAATGCCATTATGAAGACGAATAAATAACGCGAACACACTCGTACTATCAATTGTTCCTTCCTTTTCTACGTTTCATGGTCGCCGTGCATTGGGGGCAGAACCATTTTCCTTTGGGGGGCGCGGTGATGCCCACGCAAGGGTAATGGAACCATTCTGACGGACACTGCAACATAAAACATTTTTAATTTACTCATGTCATTCTTTGATCTATTCTTAATTTTAATATTTGATTTGTGTATGGGGTGCAACAAAACTATCAATTATGAAGCCTCTCAAAAGTCTTCAAAATAAAATTATCAAATGTATATTTGCGATAGAAAATAACACGTTGCCCCACCTGACGACAACGATTTGAACACCTCTGAGCGGTTTGTAATGATGTGACCAATAAGCACAAACAAAAAACAAATATGAACCAATGAAAACAAAGTAAACAGGCCGCTTTGACAGCTTTCAAGATCTCCGATAGGTGACGTACGCTTATTTTCTATCGGGAATACAGACTAAATTATTTGGAACCTATTATGAACCTTTACAGAAATTCGAATTGAAATCGTTCATTCATTCAGTTAAACATTGTCAAAAGCATTCAAATTTGGTTATCCAAATTGATAGTAATCACCATAACCATACAACTGGACAAGCAGATCAATTTTCTGTCAAGAAAATTAAGTTAGATATTAGTAAAAAATCGATCTATCACAATGGAAAGACACAATACAATTCACTACCAAATAACTTGAAGCTGATTAATAGGATTGAAAAACTTAAAAAGGAATTCAAGAAACATCTACTCATGTAATATTGACATCTTATCTCATTTTTATAGTTTTCTCGTATAACTACTATAGTTTTCCATTGGGTACCTAACAGCTGAGTGAATTAAGAATAATTTTCAGTTGAACTAAAAAAAAAAAGATTTCTTGCATAAAAAAATGTTGTATCTTGGGAATAATAAAGTTGATTGATTGATTGAAATCCATGATACAATGAATAGGACAGATATGATATTATATTATGAGCATTATAGAGATTCCCTCTCGTGCGCTCCAAGCGATAAAAAAAAGCGGTTCCAAATTCGTCCCACTCGCGCATGACGTCACCTTGTGAGTTAGTTGTGGCGCGCTTCAATATAAGAGCATGTGGACCATTGAAATATTTAATATTCGGATGGTTTTAAAGTTCTTGTTTGTGTCAGAAACAACATTTTCAATTAAAAAAAGTAATTACAGGGTGTCTGATTATATTTTCCATCTCTCCAATGTATTCCAAATGTCGAACAAAATAGGTTATTTGAATAAAAAAGTTCAAGATTATACTTTTACAGAATCGAAAAATGAAAATAGTACCTACTGAACACTGGCCTAGCCAGGGAGGAAGTGAAGGCTTTGGGGCTTAAACCTTTCCCTCAGGTGGAAATTTTCAAAATATAGTTCACATTTTCAAGGCAGACATTTTTATGATTTTTTAATCAACAAAAGTTGTAAAACATTATTAGCGATATTTTTCACGAAATTTCGACTTCACCACTAGAGACAGCATCCTTCAATTAGGTCAACTGCGAAATTTCATTGAAAAATCTTTGGTTGATATAACTATCATGAGAAAAGCTGGTTTTTCGACATAGATTTCGAATATTTTCAATTCTAGATGTTATAAATCGAGAGGAATTTGTGCTCGAAATTCAAATATTCACCAGAATCCTTTTTTAATTCCTACATTTGTGTTGACCATGTTGCCATATCTCAGAAGTTGTCTACAATATTCATAAAAAATGGGATGTTAACAAAATTAATGCTGTTTATGACTTTATGGCCAATAAAAATTTTTCAATGAAATTTCGCAGTTGACCTAATTGAAGGATGCTGAATCTAGTGGTGAAGTCGAAACTTCATGAAAAAAAATCGCTAATGATATTTTGCAATTTTCTACATAAAAAAAATTATAGTATGCCCTGAAAATCGGAATTTTATTTTTCAAATATGTGTAAACGTAGATCTTTTGACATCCTTTCCGCTGAAATGAAAAAAAAAATTGATCAGTTAAAAACTGTAGATTTTATGGGGGAGCTCCGGTCTTAGGTGGGTCACACTGTGTGTACTGTAGGTATTCATTTCATATTTTATCATGGCAAATAAAACGCTGTGAATATTGAATAATCCATTTTATTATTTTTGAAAAATTTCTTTTTTTGGAAACAGTAGCATCATGCAATTTACGATGTAATTCCCTCATCCTGAAAAACATTCGAGAACGAGAGAATAATAGTTTTGCTTTTTCATCACAAATTACATGAGAACTCATCTTCACTAATTTTTTCAGGTAATTTCTTGAAATGAAAAAACTATCCTTATTCACGTTTTTGAACTTGTCACTCCGTTTGCAAAGATGTTTTCATCTACCTTCCAACACTTTGTCTTTAGGAAAGCTGAAGAACTTCGTGTCAGACGAAAATCCTTTCGCCTGATTGTCGACACCACATCCAAAGACAGCACATTTCAAACAAGAAAACTCACTGAAAGGTACCGCAATACAACAAAAACATGGCTCAAAACTTTTGTAAACAACAATTTCTAACCGTCCACAATGGTTGAACATGGCATTCTACTCACAACGTGACGTCAGCTGGCTGAAATTAGCCCCGCCCACTCCTGCGCGATATCATATCTGTCCTTATTAATGTATCATGATTGAAATCTAGTGAAATGCAGGATTTAGATCTCATCAAAAGAAACCATCACATCAGAAACAGCCTATACCAAATTTCAAAGACTGATGAAATTGATCCTGTTCTGTCACACAACATTGTTCAAAGTTACCGTAGCGTGTCAACTGAACTGCTCAACAATTGAAACGTAACAATGCATAATATCACTCATATTCAAATATGCACAACTTTGGAAGGACACAACCAATTTCAATACCGTTTTCAGTTCCTGAAACCAATCATGATCTTTATATCTGACAGTGACAAATATCTGACCGCACTATTTTCGTTTTTGTGACGTTCACAGTGCCGAATAAATTCAACAGTGGCGCGTGTTCATTTCGCAAAGTATTTTACAAAATTTCACATGATGAAGTAGGTGAAGGTCTACAATTTTTTCTAGAGATATCTGATTCATCTTCTCATTTACTTTTTTGTTCTTGTCTTCAGGGTCCCAACGTTAGAAAATGTTTATTTTATTTTGATAACACTACAAATGAGAAGAAAATCTTTTTACAGCTGGTGCCATAATCAACTTACAGTTCTCTTTCATTTGAAAAGTTTGATTTATGTGGCGCATCCGATTCCATAATACATTTTTAAAGGACCTCTTAACAAAAAAGGAACTTTATTGGTAGAGTCTCAAATATGCCGCTTTTATAGTTAAAGTCGACTTTTTACTGATTTATTTTCACATGACATTGAAGGTTACGATTCCAAGCAAAATGAATGGTTTCATGGAAAGTTTTAGTAACAGTAGTAGTTCATCGTCATCATTCTATCGCTATCGCCTAGCAACAACAGTGAAAAAAGGTGTACTTTTTTCATAATTGTCCGTAAAGAAATGAAACAGTATTTTGATATGGAAATATTGAACTCTTCAGGCACACAAAATATAGAGTGTGGAGACTTCAACTGCAATAAATTCGTTAGCGGGGAGGTGAATAATATTTATTCTAAAAATTCCCGGCAGACATCAACGATTTAACGTATTTACCTACCTTTTGCAACCCATATCGAGAATATTGCTTGCTAAATGTAGGTACAGGGTGATTGACTATGGATTTCTCGACTTCAACAGCTAATATCTCAAAAACGAAAAAAGATATTTGAAATTTGGAAAAAGTTATTTGAATGAGATGTCATTTCCTTCTAGAAAATGTGTTATCTGCTTGATTTTATCATTTCATATACAGGGTTCGTGAAAAAAAATTTTTTTTTCAAATGGAACCCCCTGTATATTATCGCATATTTCGAAAGAGCTATCTTTCCTGATTTCGAAGATATATACTTTTCATATATTCTATCGAGGGCTTGACGAAATATCAGCAAAATTAAATATTAAATTTGGTCCAAGTTAGCTATGGTTGAAATAGAATGAGATGATGAATAAGTGAATTGACATTTGGCCAACATTCCAGTGACATAAGTGCGCAAAATTTCGACAACAGTTATATAATATTCTCGCAAAATATGAGTGGTGGGTGACACAAAATGAAAATTTTAGGTTGTTTTGTTGCAGTATTTAGTAAGTTTGGGCGGAATCATCCATCAAATTGCACTATTTATTGTGGAAATGAAGAAATATTGAGAAATAATAATTGCAATATAAATCTTCCTATAGCTTTTAAATAATCTGATGTGGGAAACAGTTGTTGTCATATTGATCAAAACACAAATTAGTTAGTGTAATTCTCGTGTGACAGACAGAGCGTTACTGTCATTTTCGATTCAGTGGAATTACACACTAGTGCGGGAAAAACAAAGATATGATTATATGGCATGATATGAGTGGTAGAAGATGGAATATGAGAGTTTGAGTATGTGTGTGGCAGTATTAAGTATGTATGTTCAGAATCATCCATCAAATCGTACTACACTCAGTTCCAAAAAAAGTAACGCACTTGATATTTGACCTATCTTCTTGAATAAAGAATAAATTTTTTTTTTGTTGGTAGGTAATGCATTTGTTACATGAAAAATAAAGAGGTAAACATTTTTTCAAAGCCTCCTTGATGGTGATGGAAAACTCGAACCATGATTTATTCTGAATTTTTGACTCACCCTGTGTGTTAATTGAGTAATGGCATAGAAAGTGCTTGAACCCTATTCGGAATAGGCTTCTTTTGCGAGCATTTTGTTGTTTTATTCATTGATTTATCTCTAAAATTTTCCGAATTACAGCTTTTTTGCTGAATCCTTGCAGATTACCAACTTTCTGAATTCATTGAGAAATAATTTTCTAATGAAATAAACTGATACCAATAATTTTGAAAAACATTTTTATTAAACACAAAATTATTAATTGGGATGACTGCTCAATACCGTGTATTTCCTCCTCTAGCAACTCTAAGAACTTCTAATCTACGAGGCATACTGAAAATTAAGTTGCTTATCGTTTCCATTGGTATACGATCCCATTCCTCCACTAATGCATCTGCCATTTCTGCGAGACTTTCCGGAGACCTCTCGCGAGAACTTACCCTTCTCCCTAATTCATCCCACAAATGTTCTATAGGATTCACATCAAGGCTTCTCGCAGGCCATTGTAATGTGGTAATGCCAGTAGCTTCTAAGAAGTTTCGCACTATTGCTGCGGTGTGTGGTCGGGCATTATCCTGCATCAATATACAATTATTGCCCACTAACTCTGCATAAGGTAAGACATACTGCTCTGAAATGTCAATATAAATTTTGGCATTCATTGACTGTCTCACCGGAAAAACATGAAGGGGTGTCTTTCCATTCATTGAAATCCCTCCCCACACCATAACGGACCCACCATTAAAACTTTCGCATTCTGTTATTAAATTTTGATTAAACCGTTCACCAGTTCTTCTCCAGACTCTTTTTCTTCCATCCACCATGTTGAGGCAAAACCTTGACTCATCCGTTAACAAGACATTCGAGCATTCAGGAATATTCCACTGTCCATAATTTTCAACTAAATTTCTTCTAGCAGCACGATGTTCGGGCAATAATTTGGGACCTTTTGCAGGTCTCCTAGCTTTTAAATTAACTTCTTTTAGAAGTCTACATACCGTCTGCTTACTTACTGCAACATCACGAATTTGGCGAAGATTTTGCTGAACATTTACCGCAGTATTTGATCGATTCCGTAAAATCCGCAATGCCAAGAAGCGATCATCGCTTGGAGCAGTTTTTCGGGGGCGACCAGAACCGACCCTCCGAGCGGTTCTTCCTGTTTGTTCGTACTTGCGGATTGCTCTACGAGCAGTTGCTTCATGAACTCCCACTGCACAAGCGGCGTAACGTTTACTACGCCCATCGTTTACTAACGCAACTAATCTTGCTACTTGTTCAGGATTTATTTGAGGCATTTTCTGTAATTTTGGTCAATAAAACAAAACACTTAATTAATGACACAAAGACAAATGGTCAAATATGGAGGCATACAACAAATTAGTTGCTATGGCAACGGCATTTGTTTTTCTTAAGATAATGTGATCCTACCAGAGTACAACCCAATCAATTTTGACTACTCTGATCCTTCAATAAATTTAATTTGTGGGATAAGCGTGAGGTATCAGTAAAAAAGCTGTAATTCGGAAAATCAATGAATAAAAAAACAAAATGCTCGCAAAAGAAGCCTCTTTCGTATAGGGTGTAAGCACTTTCTCTGCCATTAACACACAGGCTGAGTAAAAAATTAGGAATAAATCATGGTTCAAGTTATTCCATCACCACCAAGGAGGCTTCGAAAAAGTTTTCACCTCTTTATTATTTTTTTTTAACAAATGCATTACCTACCAACAAATAAAAAAAATAAAAATCGGCCTACTATTTTATGTTTTTTTCATTTAAGAAGATAGGTCAAATATCAAATGCGTCATTTTTTTTTGGAACTGAGTGTATTTATTGTGAAACTCAAGAAATATTGAAAAATTAAAATTAATTATTATGAAAATCCCCCTATAAATTTGGATTGATCTGATGGGAAACGATTATTGTTAACCTCAAATGAGTTTGGAATTGTTGAAGTGACAGACACAGCATTACTGTCATCTTCGATTCAGTGGAATTGCACAATGTGATCAAAAACTTTCAGCTATAGGGATGCGATACAGATGCGTTATTGCCAACGAAGTCTTAAGAAAGGTATGAGAAGCTATACACGCGTTTCATTGAATGGTGCAACAATAAAGAAATGAAAATACCGTATAAAGAAGAAGTATTTTTGGTTCATTTCCTAGACGTGTCTGAAACCTAGAGACCAAACACCTTATGGGCCTGCTAGCTTCCGCAATGAACCTATACATAATGCGTCAAACTGTACGTTCACAATAGCTATTACTAATAATCAGTAGATAGAGAATATATTTCTCTTGTTAGTTGTTTTTATATGAATGAATAATTAATTGAACAAATCAATCAATTTCCTACGCTTGTAGGAAAAATATTGTTCCTAACTCATGCGGAAAGTGTCTTTCCCGCACTTGACTGCTTGCCCGAACTCCGCTTCGCGTCGTTCGTGTCAACGGCAGTTGCGTGCGGGAAAGAATCACTTTCCGCACTTGTTAGGAAAATTACTAGTTCCTAACTAATGCGCTTCGCGTCGTTCGGGTCAACGACATTCGCGTGCGGAAAAGTATCACTTTCTGCACTTATTAGGAAAATTACTATTGAACGGTGTCTCGCAAATTCCGAAAAATCATTCACTTCCCCAATAGGGAATATATTGGGAAAGAGCAGTTTTTTACAGTTGTTCTTTAACCACTTACGTCCTCGTTATCGCAAGCTACCATATCCCCGTAGGACACCTGGTTGCAGAGACAGTAGCGCGGCTCGTTCGGGTCGTACGTCCATTCGCCGTCCGTCACTTCGGCGGCTGCTCCAGAGGCGGGCGTAAGGGCGGCGGCATCGAGGGCAGGGGAGGCGGGGGCGGTCGTGCCTGAGGCCACCCCCGTCGCCGAGGCCGCCCCTGTCGCCCCCGATAGGGACGAGTTGGAGGTGCTGGTGGTGCTGCTGCTGCCGCCACCGCCGCCGGTGTGCCATTTCCTTCAGAGAATGAATTAAGGTGAGTTCTCAGTGCAGCGTTTTTGATTCATACGTCGGGTGTCATGCAACTTGATTGGTGACGCTGAATTTGAGAAATATTTGACGCGATGAAGAAATTTTTATTCGTTTGACTAGGCAGTCAATCTACATTTCCTGCCGTGTAAAACATGTGAAAACGTGAAACGTGTAAAAAAAAATATTTTTTTTAGAACTAATTTTGGGAATTCAGACAATCTACATTTTTTTTTTCCGAACCAATTTTGTGTACATTTTCATTTTGTGTTCACCCAATGTCACTATCAATTTTGATTACCGATTTCATTCAAATTATTTTTCCTGTCTGTAAAGTGGCGAAAAGTACTTTCCCGTATTTCTTCACATATATATGTATATACAGGGTGTTTCATAATTGAATGCTGATCCTGAAGGGCGATAATCCTTGGATGATTTTAAGAAAAATTTTTCATGTGAACATACGGCCGTAACAGCTTCGTTTCTGAGATACAGGATGTTGAAATTCAACAGAAAAATCAGTTATTCCCCAATATCTCTGGCTTTTTTCGTCAATTTTGGTACATGCCGAGTATGCATAGAAATACATTTTTTCCATAATAAAGGATTTCTTAATTTCCATCAGTGGCGTCCCTGTTAACATACCCTGTCATATTTTTCATCAAAATAATGATACGCCATAGTCTTTTTTCCAAATAAATATAATTTTTGTAATTATACTCTGTCTTCTCATAAAAATGGTCTCTTGAATTTGTTTGTCCGGCGAACGGTTTTTGAGTTAAAAAATAAAATGCATTCATTTGCTTGTCCCTATTTGAATTTTTACTCTTAGTCTTAATTTCACAATTGTGGTAACCAAAAGATCTAAGCAATATTTTTATAATTTTATGGTAACTATTTTTAAGTTTTCTAATGAGTACGCATGAAATTACATTTTTATTTTTAAAAACATAACTATTAAGAACAAAAATACCAAAATCAAATTAAGTGTTCAAAATGTCCGCCTCCTGCAAGTATGCACGTTTCAGCCCTCCTTCTCATGGACTCGCGTACTCTTTGGAAGATTCCTGGAGTATTCCTTATGGCTTCACAGGAAGCTATTACGCGGTTTTGCAATTCTTCCTCCGTTTGAATTGGTTGACTGTACACTGAATTAAGATGTCCCCAAAGAAAATAATCAAGACTGTTTAAGTCTGGGTATCTAGCTGGCCATGACTCTGTTCCCCCACGACCTATCCAGCGATTATGGTTTTGGTTTAAATTTTCGCGTGCCAGAGCACTAAAATGAGCAGGTGCACCATCGTGCATAAACCACATGCGAATTCGCATTAAAATAGGAACATCTTCCAACAGAATTGGCAAATTATCTTCAAGAAATCGGCGATAATTATGTCCACTTAATCTCCCTGGTAAAAAAAAAGGTCCAATTAGGTAATCTCCAATAATTCCAGCCCAAACATTCAATGAGAACTGCTCCTGGTGAATGGTGATGATATTCCACGATTGCATGCGGATTTTCCTATTTTCCCTGTATATACAGGGTGGTTCAGATTTAAATGTGCATACGATACTTGCAGATAGAGGCACTTTAATGGTTTCAAATCACCCCCATTGATGGGTCTACCGTATTTTATAACTGAGGTACAGGACGTAATCTTGATTTTGGCAAAGTCTTGATCTGGTAATAATTATTTAACCACTTTGTATAATTTATTCATACATACATGTATAGCAACATTTTGTAGATCTGTTTCGATATTTGGAAAGAGCGGGAGGAAATGAATAGAGTGACCTACTTTTTATGAGCGCGCATCCAATTCGACAGATGATTTACTATCATGTTTTGAAATAGTTATTCAGTTCCATTTCGAGGCATTTTTATTGAATTCGTAATTCAAAATTCGATTCTAGAACGAGAAAAATATCAGGTTCAAATAAAGTTCAACTTTATTAAAGTCGAATCAGGTGAACTATCGATAGAAAAAATGAAATAAAATTAAATTAATTGTCAATGCTTTTAGTAATTTTCGAGGACCTATTTTATTCATCACAATTTATTCATAAGCTGCGGTAAAGTAGACTGTGCAAGAAAATTCTAAATCCTTATCATTGGTAACCTTAAAGTTACTGTGTCAGAGTCCGACCACGATAACTTTGGGACAGCACGTGGTCGCGTATGCATTGAATATGCATATGCGTTGCGTCACATGCTGTCCCAAAGTTAACGTGGTCGGACTCTATGTCATAACCATGAACACTTTGAAATGTAACAACCGAATACAAGCACCAACAAGTATCTCAACGTTACCAATAATATCACAGTAGTGATTATGAACTGTCAGAATATCAGATTTTTTTGTACAGCCTATTTTACCGCAGCTCATGGATTAATAGTAAATAATAAAATGAGCTATCAAAAATTTCTAAAATGATAGACAAGTTATATTCTGCCAAATGATTGAATCTTTTGATAGTTCACCTAATTTGACTTGAAGACTTGTTATTTTTTCTGAAAAAATTGGATTTTGAATAAGGATTTCAATAAAAATGCATCAAAATGGAGCTTAGTATTTAAAAAAATAACAATGAAACATCTGTCAAATCAGATGCGCGACCGTAAAAAGTGGGTCACTCTTTATCATTTCTTCCCGCTCTTTTTTGTTTTTGTATATAAAGAAGTTTTCTGTTTTTTCAAATCCGTCGGAATTCTTCAAAAATTGCTAGGAATAATAAAATAATAATATAAATTGTACATGGTACCTAAAACATGAAAATTTATTATTGGAATGTGCTCACACAAATCCTTCAAGGATTTATCGGGCACTGTTTTTTGTCTGGTGTCATTGTTCTTAATGAACAATGTTTCTTATGGTTTATATTGTTAAGTAGGAGGATTTTCAGAATTAATATGCACTATTTTCAAATGTAAAATGTAAACATTGAATTCAAATGTAAAAATGTAAATGTAAATGTAAACATTATCTTATCTTATACCAGGAATTACTGTCTGATCATTCATGTCATTCCTACTAGAAAATTAATTATACTTTATATATTATTTGTATGAAATGTATCAATGAAGAAGAGAATGTTTTCTCAAGGCGGACTTGGATTCTGATCCCCATTTTTATTAAATTTTAATAGGTAATATTAGTGGAATATTTCTACCAAGTATGGATGGATTAGACAAAGTGGTTCAATAGTTATGACCAGATGAGATTTTGCCAAAATCAAAATAACGTCCTGGACCTCAGTTATAAAAGACGGTAGACCCATCAATGGGGGGTTATTTGGAATCATCAAAGTGTCCCCTATCTGCAGGTATCGTATGTACATTCAAATCCGAAACACCCTGTAAATATAACAATTTTTTGATGTTAATAATCTACCTGAGAATATTTCTTTTCAGATCCCCATTGTCGTTACCACACAATTTCTTGTTCGGAAAATCGAATAAAAAACTACTTTTGATGGCAAAAGATTGAGAAAAAAGTCAAACAAAAAACGAGTAACGCATGCATAAACATCGATAATCGCTAATGAGAATGCGGGCTCACTTTTGTTTCTTCTTGTTGTTGGCGTGATCCTGTTGGATGGCCTGGATGGCGGTCTGCGCGGCGCCCGCCAATTCTCTGCCGATGCCGTACTCGTGGCCGCCGCCGCCGTGCCCACCGCCGCCGCTGTTGATGGCCTCGTAGGAGGCCTTCAGGCTGGCCGTGCGACGACCTTGCTGCATCTACGACAATTAGTTGTTCATGTAACAAGTGTGTGAAGTGTTTTTTTTTAGAGTAGGAAATGTTGGCAATAGGCGAGTAAACTATTTTTTCCGTTAACCTCGTATTAACGACTAAGTTTAATGTGTATGAAATCGTTCATTTATGAACCCTATTAATGAACGATTTGTCTATTAATGCACGATTGTTTTATAGGCAACCAAACATACACCACGTGCATTCATTGTTTATGCTATAACTTACGGAATCTGCATTTAAATCGAAAATATGAATTTCATTGAAGATTTTCCGTTAACGGGTTAGCCGTTCCAAGTTTCTGACACGATTTTAATCCCTGTTTTCTAACACAAGGAATTCATTTTCTATGTTGATCATTTCGACAAATGTCAAATGTCACTAATGTCAGTGACAAGGCTACTGGGTGATTCTTAGCAGTTTCCAGATGAATGATGAATTCGCGAACCAAGTTTTCTTCATTGCAGGTGAAATGAGAAATATAGTCGACGGAAAAATTTTGTAACCAACTTGTATATTAAAAGGCGATTAATGATCTCGAACATTAATCGCCCCCATTAATACACTAGTTGGTTAAATAACTATTTTTTATTTCTTGAATATAATCATCGATCAAATAACTTTCGATTTCATATACCGGGTGTCAACGAATCTATTAGGCAAAAGTCATAACTTATAGACCATTAGGTGTATCAAAATGAGATTTGGTATAGGTAAATGGTATGTGAAGAGGAGAATTCTCACATATTTTTCACTTCCCGGTCACTTCCGGTTTCATCGGAAATCGCTCCGGTTTAAAATTTTTAAATGGAACACCATGTATATGATAACATTCTTGGATTTCTGAGGCAATTCTAGATCAGAATGTTACATTTTCGAAAGTTTTTATGCCTACTCTATTCTTTCGGAGTCACTTTTGAAATTACATCTAGGTGGCCATGATCGGAAGTAAACTAATCTAAGAACCTCAGGTGATATCAGAAAATTACAATCGCGAAGTTTTAGTGACAAGTATGATAGATATGAATAAGACGAGTTGGCAAGATTACATTTTCGTGTCTAACTATCATTTTTCAAATGGCGACCGTTTTTTGACAAGCACTTTCCGAAAAAAGGATATTTTGATGAATCTAACGATACTAATTTATTTGCAGATTGGCTCACAATTTGACAGTTGCAGATTGTCTCACACTTATGTGCGGGCTATTTGAATAGATTATTATAGACCAATCAGAACCATGGACCTTCACTGTTGATAACTAGCGTCTAGAGACAGGGTACTACAATTAATAATCGCGGTGGAGAAATGCTATAGCGGAAGCACGTTCATGAATAATCTGCAATAGTATGATTCATTTTACAACTGAAAAGTGAAATGGCATATAATACCTGGTAAGATTGACTGAGCTTGATAGATTAGATATGCTCAAATGCAAGAATTTACTGACGATTACGCTAGATTGAAACGAAATGCACCTCTTCTAGGAAGCAGCAAATTATTATCTTTTGATCTCTTTATTGATGACATCGGACTAATTCGAGTAGGAGCTATAATTCGTAAATCAAGTGTAGATACCGATCAAAAACACCCGGTAGTATTGCCCGGTAATCATCCGTTAACGACACTTGTCATTATGAATGAACATTTGAATAGTTTTCATTCAGGACTTCAATTAACTTTGTCGAAGTTGCAGTTGAATTATTGACCATTGAAAGAAGTATCGTGAAAAAAGTACTGTACAAAATGTGTTACATGCTTCAAGGCTAAACCACAAAGCATCCAACCGAAAATGGGTGATCTTCCAAGTAACCGACTGCATCCTGTGCGTCCTTTTTATAATTGATGTGTAGATTATGCAGGTCCATTTTTTATAAAGGATGTCAGAACTCGAAATCACAAGATAATGAAATGATATTTGTGCTTATTTGTCTGTTTTGCCACTAAGGCAATACATCTGGAATTGACAGGCGATCTGTCAACACATTCGTTTTGTAATGATTTGAAACGTTTAATTTTTCGTCGCGAGATTAGTAAAAATATATATTCTGACAATGGCATCCAATTTCAAGGTGCGAATAACGAGTTTAAAGAAATAGGTGACTTGTTGGGCAAGATAGTTTCTGACTCAACTATTATAAATTTTTGTTTTGGACATACAAAATGTGTCTGAGAATAGATTAAATCATTATGAAAGACTACAATAAATTATCCAACATTTCTGGAATCGTTGGAGTAGTATTTGGCTACACTCCAGCAGAGAAGTAAGTGGAGACAAAATGAATCTCGCAAGTTGGACATTGGTGATATGGTGTTGCTGAAGCAGCGAGAATGCTGCACCTATGAATTGGCCCTTAGGCAGGGTCATTAAATTACATCCTGGAGCCGATGAAGTAGTCCGCGTGGCAAGCGTGAAAACTTCGAATAGTGAAGTGAAACGGGCAGTGTCAAGGCTATGTAGTTTGCCTATTGATAGAAAATGACTGAAATATGTATTATCTCATTTGATATGATATTGTTGAGTTTCTTTTTTCTCTTATTTGTTTCGAAAGCACAGGTTTTCAAGGCTGGCGACTTATGTTAATTTAGTTTATGACCATTCATCCTCTTTGAAGCAGAATAGTTTCATCACCAACGACACACTTTAATGTAACATAAGTTGCCTATATCTCTGTATATAAATATCAGTATAGTTTCTAGTATGTATGCACGATATCTCGCAATATTTAGGGTCTAGTTTTTATGTTTCAGAAAAACCACTGCGGTACTCATTCTTTTTTTTTTTTTCGAATACAGGCAGTTCATTTTCGGTATTTGATTAAGTAGCAACCCTGTTGGTATTTGAAATCGCTAATTCTTGTTCATAAGATTTATTGTGATTTTTACCTGGTGTTATGTTATTTCAGGTAAGGAAATCTGAGTGATCGTTGTATTTTGTATATTCAATGCTTTTGATAACTGTGAAATTTTCAAATGTTATTGTTGAGAGTGTGATTTTCGGCACCACTAGCTTTTTGCTATGAACACCGAAAATCATTTTATTCTGTACGATAGGGTACTACAGGGTTATGTTATTTCAGACGAAGGTGATACTGAACAATTTCCCCCAAAACTGCCATTGAATAATAAAAGCCAAATCTCCGCCTATAATTCCGAATTATTTTTCCAACCCCACTCAACCCCTGAGACGTTCCGTTTCACCTTCGAGGGTTGTTTTTCTACTTGCTTTTGTCAGCGACAGGATATGGTCAAGAGTTTTGTTAGAATAACTCTAAAAAGACTGTTGTTGAGTAAAGACGTCTATTTCAATATCCGCATTTTATTTGTGTGTCCCAAAAAGAGAAAATTCACACAAAATCTTTCCTCTTTTTTTTTCTCATAATCATAGTATTGTTCAAAGTTGAAATAATCTCTTTTTTTTTCTCTATTATTTACATTTACTGTACATATATGGTCGAAGCAATTCCCCATTTTCAAAATTAAAAGTAATTGATTTTCGCGCGCATGAAAGTTAACTTCCACTCCATATGAGCATGTGCGAAAAGAATACCCATCAGCTCAGCAACGAGAGCTACCACATGATTTTGGAGCTTATCGAAGTGACAACCGCAACGTGGTTTTCGTGAATTTCTTCGTTTGTTTTACAAAACCCTCTACACTCGCGAGTGCATGCATACCAGAAGCCTATAGACATTTTCGCGCTTGAACCGCCGCTAAAGAAGAAAAGGAGCTGAACAAGGTAGGTGGAAGTTCTTTCCCGCAAATTTTCATGCTCTTTCCCGCAAATTTTCATTCAAGTTCATTGTTGAACAAGTATTTTGACATTGTTATACTTTTACCGCCACATTTTGGTCGTTCGAGCCGGATGCTATGGATTATTGATAGTTTCATCAGTTCAATTTGATTGATTAGAATTGCTTCGATCATCTTTTTCAAAATTAAATTCAAGGTCACCAGTATTACAGGTGAAACAACAATCAACGACCCGTTTTTTGCGTTAAAAAGGTGCCAGGGTCGGTCTCTAATAAGTTTGTCATCATTTTAATTTCTTGATATTGTCAAAGTTATTTCGTTTCACACTATGGCTGATAAGATTAAGAAATTGAAAGCCTTACGAAATACTGAAATCAAACGAATGTCTGAACTCAAAGACGTAGCTGAGAAAGCTTTTCTGAACAGTAAAGTTCACTCGGAATTCAGGCAACGATTCAAAGTTTTGGAAGAAATCAAATCCAATTTCAATGAACATCAATTTAACATTATTAGTACTTTGGGTTCTACTAAAGATATAACCGCAGAAATTTTAGATGCTGAAGAAGCCATTCGTACAGCATTTGAAAAAGACTTATTTTCAGTTCAAGCGATGTACGCCGATTTATTTAAGGGACCTCCACAAACTTCTTCTGTGTCAAATACTTCCCCGGCTTCCGCACCTAGAGTGAAACTTCCTGAAATGAAGTTACCAACCTTCAATGGTGATATCAGGACATTCACTTCGTTCATTGATCTTTATAACGTTCTGGTACATGATAATGTGTCTCTTTCAAATATTGAAAAATTTTCACATCTGCATTCTGTACTAGAAGGGCCACCGAAAACATTAATTTCTTGTACACCGCTAACATCAAACAATTATTTGGTAGCGTATAACGCACTTGTGAAAAGATATTCAAATCCGCGCATGTTAGCAAACGCTCATTGGAACGAGATCGATTGTAGCCCGCGTCTATCAACTGAAAATCCGCCTTTGCTTCGAAAATTAATTGATACGTTCTTTGAAAACATTGCCGCACTTCGAAATTTGAATTACCCTGTAGATCAGTGGGACTTCATCCTTTGTAATATGCTTCTCAAAAGACTCGACCCCGCTACTGTCTCTCGCTATGAATTAGAACTAAGCTCTAAACCTACAACTAAGTCAAATTTCAATGATATGATAGATTTTTTAACTGTTCAGTGTAACGCCTACGAATCATTGTCATTATCCTC